AGCCACCCTGCGGTGGAAACTCATTTCGGCCGCTTGTACTCGTGATCTCGTTCTTTTGGTCACTACCCAGAGCTCGTGACCATAGGTGAGGGTTGGAACGTAAATCGACCGGTAAATCGAGAGCCCACTCGTGAACAAGATCCCGAGATACTTAAACTCCTCCACCCGAGGCAGGACCTTCTCCCCGACCTGGAGAGGGCAATCCACCCTAGTTTAAGTTTATTTACTTTATTAATCCCCCTGAGGGGAAATTCACATAAGAGACATAAGACATAAGAGATTGAGTTTTATTAAAACGTTTATTTTAGCATTCTTTATTATATATATTAACAGAAGGAAATTTACTGTTCACTTTACACATTCTGCTTTATTGCACAATCTTTATTGTTTCTATGCAAAATTTCTCAATTAATTTGATGGCTTGAACTGTACCTGTAATCAACTGAACCTTTAATTACAGTAAAAGTAACTTTAAAAAGGTGTCTGTGAAATTTCTGTCTATGACAACTTTGTATTTAAAAAGCCTCTAGGCTGTAGTTTTATACATATTTTGAACTTCATATTGCTTTGAGGTGTAGGGCAGATATTCATTAATTCAAGCTTTATTTTAATTCGAAATTACACTGAGGGACACCCCTTATTTCCAGTATAGTCAAAAAATATCAGGGCACTGTTCAAGCAATAGGTGACACCTATTGTTATATCTGTTAATATATAACAAAGAATGCAAAAATAAACGTTTTAATAAAACTCAGTTCCTTATGTCTTAGTATAGCACCCCCTTCAGTTAATATATAACAAAGAATGAAAAAAATAAACTTTTAAAATAAAATAAAATAAAATAAAACTCTTATCTCAGTTTTTCATTTGTTATTATATAGTTTGTTACGGAGTCCGTGATTTCCCTGTGTCTCTTTGAGGTCTTGTCATATGGCGTGACACTTAGAAATGTTTGTGTAATTGTGCTTAGTTGTTTTATGAGGCTCTGGCAGCTTTCAGTTGTCTCTTTGTCTTTAACGTTACTTGGCTTGGCTTTCTCTCTCAAGTGCTGATATAGAGCTCATAAGTTGAGTGTTTCTGTTTCCAGTACATGGGACCTTAAAAATTGATTTCTCATAATGTATTTCAATGGCTAGATGAAAATTATTTTCTGGTCCCGTTTGAGTTGTGCCATGAATTTCACATATGTTGTTTGTGAATTTTTAATATATTTTTTTCATGCAAAGAAGGCTACACTTTAGCGGGAAGAAGTCTGATACTGTTAGGTTTTGTGTGCGCGCGCTTTGTGGACTACAGCTCTTCGCTGCTCTTGACGCGTATGATATACGTCACCACTCACACTCGGAACATGGCTGTGTCTCTGGTACACTTCACCGCCTTCTTCCAAGGAGAGGACAAAAGCCTTAAGCGTGGCGAAAACCACTACAAGTCTGGACATGTGGAAAGTTTCAGCTACGCCGGCTACGCCAGTGGACGAGGCAGAATAAGCAGCAGCAGCAAAACACACCGGCGCCGTACGACACATGTCAAAACAGCCGCCCCCATTATTTTCTATTTACAAACCCACACCGGCGGCGGCACTTGACTCGCGTCAATGACGCCACCCTCATATGACGCCAGTGTGTTTTGGCCTTGAGTGATGATGTGACGTTGCATAGGCGACATGTAGTCTTTCTCATTACGTTATTTCCACAGTCTTTAACTTAAGAATCATACAATAAACTGTCAAACTCTTAACATGAAAAAATATTATTTAGACCCACACAAAACATTTGTGTAATCCAAGGCATTTAATTACTGGGATCAGAAAATAATAAGTTTCTCTCCGTTGACTCCCATTCATATTTTCCGAGCCTAGAGTTCCGATGGGGTTCTACCGGAAGGGGCCTGACTTACAAGCTCTATAGATCGGTCGTGTTGCCGAGGGATGTGGTGACTTTAACTTTTAAAGTTTTACACAACACATCTTCAAGTGCGGACACACCAAACCGACATCAAAGAACTAGCGGCGACGAAAGCCAACTGTTGCGTTGTCTACGTCGCTAGAGTTGCCACCCGTCCCGTTTTTCCCAGAATTCTTCTCTTTTTTCATCAGCTGTCCCGGGAAAAAAAAAATCTCTCCCGGGACACAATTTGTCCCGTTTTTTGGGGAAAATGCAGCAGCAGCAGGCCAAGGAGTCCATCCAGAACGACGCATAGTGCGTCCAAATTAACACCTGTTCTTCTCTATGGATTTTCTCTGCGACCGTGTGTCATAGCAAGAAGCCACGCATATCACGTGAAACAGCGGAATCGTAGCTTTCCGAATGTTTTCACAGCGAAAAAAATGATAAAGTTACACTAAAATGATGTATGACAAAGCTTTCATAAAGCTTTGCACACACATTATTCTTGGATGGATTATTCGCGAATGCAGGACCAGAGCTTTCCTATGATACCACACACATCATTGTACTGTCATCCCATCACGCTATAAATACAGATCAATTGTCTACAAAATAAAAACCTGACGAATTTCTTTACAACCCATGACACAGATCTTGTTATCAGTCACTTCATATAGTGAGGAATATCGTATCTTACCACGTCTTAGGCTTGCGTGTGTTTCTCCCTGTCTATCCACATTTGTAGTCTGGCTTTCAAGACGCAAATATCTCCATATTGTCCAGTTGACACTCCATCAAACTTTGTAATGACAAGACCAGCCACTTCACCTTTGCGCACCCAGACAACTGTAGCCTAATTATGCATGCATGACAGGGCCGTAGTCACCATATACATTATTGAGGGGGACACGTGCCACCCCTTTTTAACTGCAAACAAAGTGGCAAATATTATCTTGGAGGACATCATTGCACTTGGTTGACTATTTTTCTATTATCTTAGATGTAAATATTGCATGTTTCTTTCAGATAAAACACATTTTTGACTAGTGAATGAGTCAATGGAATTTCTTGCAATAATGAAAAATACTGTCAATCATGTCCGCCTGGCACAAACCACATGTTTTGGACAGCTGTGAAGTGACAGAATGTCCCACCATCATGGTTCTTATATCACCAGATTCCAGAGAGTCTCCCCTCTTCATATATGGCAGAATATGTCTTCTTCCAACTTGCTATGGTGAGATACATGTAAAAATTTAAGAATTTAGTAACACGGATTTGTTTTTTTCATTGATATAAAAATTAATATAAAATACAGGCACATAGAAGGACATGGAATGATGGCAAATCTGGTCTCCTATGTCCGAATTTCATGTTCATTGGTCAGTCTGAACTGGTAATAATGGCCAAGCCCTCCGCCTCAAACATTTGGTCGAGTGTCCCTTTTTTTCACAAATCCAAGGTGGCAACCCTATACGTCGCCCTGTGTCAGTTGCATTTGAACACACTACACGGACTACATCCGACGGTGGCACGTACGTTCTGCGCCTGCATGAGAGAGAGCTGAGTGACAGAGTGGTACATCCTGACAGCCGAGGTGTTACCTATCTGTGTAGCCAAGCACCGCAGCACCTCCACTGGCTATTACATTCAGACGGCCCCGGTGTTTCCTCCGCAGGCTCCACCTCACTCAGCTTCACTCAGCTGCCCAATAAACCCGCTGCTTCTTGCCACTTTAACCTGAATAACAAACCAGGGCTCAGTACTCCGGTTGGATCCAAACGGAGAGCCAGGGCTAGCTGGGAAGCTAGCGAAGGCTAACTGGCTGTGCTTCCCTCCGTCATGCTGCGCTAGCCGCTCCCAGCTAGCCCCGGCTCTCCATTTGGATTCAAACGGAGAGCCGGGGCTAGCTCAGAGACTAGCAGAGGCTAACTGGCTGTGCTTCCCTCCGGTCATGCTCCCAGCTAGCTCCGGTTTGTTATTCAGGTTAAAGTGGGAAGAGGCAGCAGATCTGTCAGGCATCTGAGTGAAGTGGAGCCTGAGGAGGAAGCACCGGTTAGCCCCGGTTTCACTTGGCTTGGTGTGTCAGGGCTTTTACAGTTCACCGTCGCCGTACCTGAATCCAAAGTATCCCCATATAATAGACGTTGTTTTTTTTTTCACCACCAAATTAGCCTGTTCATGGTTGTGCTCATGCTCTTCTTCAGCGTCTATGTTGGTCACTGCTGCACGCCGGGTGGCCACCTGACCATACATGCTGCACACACCAGGGGCCTGTTTCACAAAACCAGGATAAGGGATTAAGCCGGGATATCGTGGTTATTCTGGATCAACTTATCCTTGATCCAGTTTCACAAAAGCAGGATAGGGGGAAGTGGGATATGTTTTGACATAAGTTACCATGGAGATTTATTCTGTGGAGCTAGCCTGCTCCAGACCAGGCTAAGTTCCAGGATTTATTTAATCTCATCCCTTATCTCAGTTAGCAGCTACCACAAATGGAAACTAATATTTATTCCACTTCACACTACACATTCTTATCACATTCAACGAGACCCACTGTCATTATTTAAACATTTGTGATCATTAATTGCAGTCATTTTAGATAAATGATTTTAGTAGAAAATTTAGTTAGACTATCTCTCTCATATATATATATATATATATATATATATACACTGTAAATAAATGATTAAAAAAATACACACCATACAGTAACATGATGACATGATGTTCCTTTATTGAATAGGATAAATCAAAGCAAGTAATCCATCAGTTCCTTTCAAAAGTGACGTCACACAGTGCTCTACAAGATAGAAAGCACTGAATCAAAGCATATTATTCATCACAAGAATAAATACACATTCTCAAAGGTCTGTATATAAAACACCCTGCATGTCTGCACACTGGAATAAATGCAGGACAAATCCATACTTAACAAATGAACAAATGTCAGGCCTGTATACGCACAGTACACAGCACAATAAGCCAAATTAATATAAAATAACACAAATTCCTCTGCTATTGCAGGCCATATTCAACTTAAATGTGCAGAATGCATTTTAACTGAAATAATTCAAAACGTATTGGTCCCTGATCAGCCGACCACTGTCGTCATCCGGGAAGATGGCCGGATTGTCCCGGTCCACATCTGATGGCACTCTGGGGGCCCTCTCCTTCCTCAGGCAGGCCACATTGTGGAGGACAGCACAGGCCACAGTAATATCGCATGCTCTGTCTCAGATGGTGCAGACACTGGAAGCGTGCCTTCAGGAGGCCAAAGGTCATCTCAATCCGAGCCCTTGTCCTGGCATTGGCATCGTTATATGCCCGCTGTGCTTCCTGAGGGTCTGCGTAGGGTGTGAGGCAAAAAGGCTCGCAGGCATAGCCTCTGTCCCCCAGCAGCACACCAGAGAATTCACCTGTGAATACAAAATGTCATCATCACAGCCTTATCAATAGAGGGACATTCTTGACATAGCCTTGATTTTAAAAGTGGTTATTAATTGAGGTCATGTGGCTCACCTTGTGACAGGCGCCAATAGACTGCAGAGGACCGAAAGATTCGTGAGTCATGGACTGAGCCAGGCCACTTTGCCACAACATTGCTGATCAGGTAGTCAGCATTGCAGACCATCTGAAATTATAAGATGTAGACTATTAAACCATTCAATGCACATCACAAGCAATGTACAATGTTCATTAATGTCATAAAGTCATGTTCACCTGAACATTAATGCTGTGAAAGGATTTCCTGTTCACAAAATCTCCCTTATGGGCACCTGAGGGGGATTTTATTCTGATATGGGTGCAGTCAAGTGCACCAATGACATTGGGGAAACCTGCAACACAAAGCAATAAGTATCCTACTATGACTTAACACTTGTCCTGTAATTTGTACTTACAGTACTCTTACCTGCAATCCTATAAAAATCCTCTTTGATGTCACTGAGTCTTCTGTGTCCAGGGAAGGAGATGAAGACACCTGATAGTGATTTGAGGGCTAGACAGACACTACGCACCACACGGCAAATTGTGGCCTTGGCCAGGTTTTCAGCATCCCCCACTGAGTACAGGAAGCCCCCACTTGCAAAGAAGCGCAAGGCCACACACACCATTTGCTCAACACTCAGCGCATGGCTCCGTGCTGTGTGGTGTTGGATCCTGGGACCCAGCAGTCTGCACAGATATCGGATGCCATCTGCAGAAAACCTATATCTTTCGTGTAGGTGGTCATCAGGGAAGGCCAATGGGTTCGCCCTGTCCCTGAAGACCCTCTCCCGCCTGAAGGCTCTCCTGAGCACAAGAGCTTCTCCATCCACAACCTCTTGCAGGAATGGACACGCCATTGTTTGAGCAGGAAGGAACACACCATTTTGGGCCTTCATATAGGCTATTGGATCGCTAGATTTAATGAGGAACACCTTTGCACTCTCACAAGCTACAAATGGTTATCTAATTATCAGGATACCTATTGCCTTAAAGAATAGATAATTGATTAAAATGCTCCCTGTTTGACCTTCACACTGCTCAACTTCTGCCATAAAGTGTTTTGATATCTGGGAAATAGCATTTCAGGTACATTATGTGCATTTCTTTTTGTCTTAATACAGCCAGTCTTTGGTGTGTGACTTCTAACCAATCAAAGCACTTGGGGCTACCATAGAGATGACACTAGGCATTATGTCAGACTGTGGAATACAATCTGCAATCCCACCTAACTGTGCACAAATTAAACAAGCAAACACCACAGAAGGTCTTTTGATCTTTTATTTAAGATTCTTCTTCTTGAAGCTGGGTGAGGAAAGGAGAATAATAATTAATAGATTGTCTGTGTTACAGTCAGCATACAGTGTACACTGAAGGTGAAACTCACCTCCCGCTCAAGTTTTTTTATTTCAAGGTTCAGTTTCCTCAGTTTCCTCCTTTTAATTTCGGACTCCACGGAGAGGTCTGCCATCTGTCTTCTTTTGTATTCAATGTCCATATCGGCCAGTTGTATTTGCCGTTTCAGATGTGTGGCATACAGCTGTCTGATAGCTTGTGAGTTCTGTAAACACATAATAATCAGCACAGCAGGAATTTTGCATGATGGGAATGTACTTCCATAAATACTCACTATGTTGCAAGGCTGGCTTTCATCCTGTAGAGCATCTGGGTCCTGTTACAGAAATGACATTTTGTGTGGGCTCCAGATGATGATGACTTCTCACCATTGTAGACTGAATGAGTACTTTCATTTGACATGATACCTCAAACCTTCTTGAATCAAGAGACACAGTCTCCTCATCGACTTCATCTGCTGCTCCTGCTGCTCCACTGGTGCCTTCACCCTATCACATTTAAAAGGGATTCATATTAAAGCAAGCAGATGAGACATGCCAGGCTTACAGTATGACTTTGATGGAGGACTCACTGGATCATCATCCTCTGGTATTGGTGACGCCACTGTTGGAGGCTCCAACAGTGAGATGGTGTTTCCAGATACTGCAAGGTAAAACAGAGTCAGATAGTCCAAATGGATTCAATATGAATGGTTGGTTATGTCCCATGTAAAGATGGAAGAATGTACCTTTAATGAAGAGGGAGGCATCTTCCTGGGAGGGATTTATATTTGAGTCTGTCCCCCCAGGGATCCCCTCTAACACAGGCCTGCCTCTGTTAAGTTCCAGGGCTCTGTCCTCTGCAGGGGTGAGGTCAGCTGGTGGTCACCCACCACCCGTGCCTTGCTTGTGGGTTTTTTTTTAACAGCTATAAGTACAGACAATATGTGAGTAGGCACCCTCTGGGTACAATGTACGCACGTGCATAGTATTTGTCAGGTCACTTACCATTCTGCAGGATGTTCTTATATTTGATCTTGACTTGTTGCCAAGTTCGTTTGGGCCCAGTCATGTTTAATCTAAGAATAATAAATTAATTAAGACAAAATAAATAACACACACACACACACATAGATAGTGAATGAAATAACTGAGGGGCAAATATGTAGTTTCATTTACATAATTTCACATCTACAGTCCATTTCACTCGCAGTTTCATAATCAGAGTATAACTACGTTTTTGGGAATGTTAATTAACTATTTGGATTGTAATTGTGATGGATTCAGCAGGGTAGTGAGTGTGTGTTTGTGCAATACATACGCATTCAGGCGGTCTGCAATACTTTGCCATGCTTTCTCTCTTTGTTTGATGGCGGTGGCAGTGTTTCCTTTCTTTTTAATTTGTTCTTTTACCTCTTCGTAGGCCTCCATAATTATGTCCTGCTCCGATGGGGAGAAGTATGCTGCACATGATGCCATAGTGAATCAGTGAATCTGTGATCAATTACAGGGACTATTTAAGGAGCCAAGTGCTGCAACTTATCCAGGATTAGTTTCACCTGGCTTGATGAATCCATGTCTACTTATCCTGGCTTGGCGTTTGTGGAACCAATTAAGCCTGAACTCTGTTGTTTTGGAATGGTTGAGCCAGGCTTACTTACTTATCCTGGATGTCTGAATCCTACTTTTGTGAAACGGACCCCCGGATAGCTTGTGGGCGTAATGTCAGCAAACTCCACACACTACAGGAGAGGTAGTCACGTTCACAGACACACACGTTAACATTTATTTACATTAAATCGCAGCCTTTTGTGCGGTTATGTAATCGCACAGCCTGTCATCGCGATTGCAATTGCGATTAGATTAATCAGCACTAACGGTATTACTTTTCAGTTCATTGTGCTCCTTCTAGTTTTCTGGTGTTATTTGTTTTGCTGTTGTTACTGTTCAGTTCACTGTGCTCCTTCTATCTTTCTCATCAAGCCCTCTAAAGGGAAACAGGCTTCCGTTTTAGCGGCCGTTTTCCGTGTGGTCCTAGTGCTCGACATGTCTGAGTTTATTAGCGCGTAACATGGTTTTTGGACGGTTAAAAGTGCAGGGGACATGTCCCCTTTTCTGAAATAATACCTTTATTGAAAATGTGTGTCCTAAAGGCAGGAGTTTACCATTGTGTGTGTAAGATCAAAATACGTCTTAGTATTGGACTGAGGGTCGCAACAATATGGCTTGATTTATTATTTATTCACAGATGAAGTCCTGCAGAGCCAACCTGCAACAGAACCAGAACCCTCCTGCAGCAGTACCTCCACGTGTACTCGGTCCTGTGCCTCTCCACGCCTGATCTCGGAAGCAGTGTTGGACAATCAAGAAAGGATAGCTGACACACTCGATAAGATTGCCTCAACACAATTTAAAAAAATAAAGATGTGCACTGAAACTGGTCTGTCCTCATTTTTGAAGTGATATACTTAGTTTAAAAAAAATCTGACTGTTAGACTCAAATTGTAATATTAATGCAACTTTATTCACAAATGGGCAATTAATTGCGCCCGAACTTGAACAGCGAGCCTGCAGTCTGCATCCTCATGGTGTAGTGGCTGAGGGGGGGAGTGGCACACCATGCTTCACAGCGATGTTGTGCAGTACACAGCAGGCCATGATTATCCTACAGACCTGTAATGGTGAGGGAGAGTCATAAATTAGAAGATGCAAGGAGTTTGATTAAACTTGACCTTAGTCTAAGCAGTTTTTACAATAATAAAACAAATCATAAGTTCTCTTTACATACCTTCTCCGGTTTGTACCTGCTGTGTCCAAACACATCCAGCATCCCTCTAAAATGCCGATGGTGCGTTCGATGGTGGAGCGAGTTCGTGCATGCATCTGATTATATGAAACCTCCTGAGGAGTCTGAGGGTTGGTCAGTGGTGTCATCAACCAGGGGGCCAGGGCATATCCTCGATCCCCTAATAAATCAAATTAAGATCAAATCAAATAAAAAGACACTTTTGTGGAAAATTATAATTATTAAAAGATACATACCAATGAGCCATGCATCACCAGCTGCTCCTTGTTCGAGGCACATTCCCACAGAGCTGTTTTGTAGGAGTCGTGTGCTCCTCCTGGGAACCGGGAGACCACATTCAGCAAATGGTTCTTGGAATCTCAAATGAGTTAGACATTTATTTAATGATATTGTTTGCGGTTGAGGTATGGGAAGGGGTCTGGCAAGGGTGCCTTAATACGCACGTGTGTACAGTCTATTGCACCAATGGTGTTAGGGAGGCCAGCAATATCATGGAATCCTCTCGACTGTGACTTGCTCTATAATTGTGTATGGGAACTTAATGTAGTGCATGGCCAGTTGATTTATTGCATTCACAACTTGCGGGAGAGCGTGGCTGATAGACGGCTGTGATATGCCCACCCTGTCTCCCAGCTCCCGTTGAAATGATCCAGTGGCCAAAAAGCCCGATGTCGATAGTACCTGCACATGTGGTGGAACAGGGTTGGACCGATGTGTCTGGCTCCGAAGTGCTGGCTCTAAACGGTTGCAGAGATCCATGAGAACAGCTCTTGGGAGCATAAAGCGTCCAAAAAGGTACTCATCACTTTCTGCAAAACGATCGATGTGGTCCTGAAACATTCGTTCCCTCTGTAGGGCAAGATCAGCAATCTCTTGCAGCAACAATGTTTAGAATTGTTTAGAATTTATTATTAATAGGATAGCCCCTTGAGATGTAGCATCTCATTTTCAAGGGGGTCCTAAAAACACAAAATACAGAATATAACACATACTTACAATGACAACGTTACATAACAAACATAGACTACAAATACACCGATACATTCAGCTCTCTCACCATCTGCCACCCACACCCCCACCCTCAGCAGTTGTACAAGAAGCTAGATACAAGAAATGAGAAATGACCCGTAAAAACAGATCAGTTTTATCATTACCGAGAGCGCTTGAAACAATTAATCTTCTAATGGCAAATACACACAAATTAAAAGCATGAACAGGTTGTTTTAAGATGACAACATAAAGAAGTCCTGAAGCAGCGAAAATAGTTAATAGATCTAAGAGAAAGAGGAAGATTATTCCAGTCAGCTGGAGCTTTGTACTGAAAAGATGTGCATCCAACGTCATTAAAAATTCTGGGGACAGAAAAGAAGGGATATTGCATATGTCTGAGGGAATAAGAAGATCTATATGGAACCAAAAACTGTTTCAAATATGAAGGACAATTAAACACTTTTTTTTTTTTTGTAAAATTTTTTTATTTTTCAGTTCAAAAATTGACAATAGAAAAACAACATAATGATGTACAGTCAATGAACATACCGCAACATCATCTCCCTTCCCCCCTTCCCAAACCAAACCTAGCAGGACCAAACAAACTGACAGATAGGACAGAGAATGCGGAGGCTTCCACCTTACCGCAATCATTTTCTTCACGGCTGTTAAGCCTGCAAGTACTATACGCTGCTGATATTTAGTAACCTGAAGTGAGGAAATATCATTC